TTTTATTTATTTACTTCTTATTTTAACATTACTATGCCTGTGTTATTTGTTTTTCCAATAATACGAATTAAGCTTTAGTTACTTTATTGTCTTCATTTCTACCATACAATACACAATTTGTTGGTTGATATATTTTGTTTCATGCCTTATGTTTTATGCTTGTGATTATATATGTCATATAGTATGACCCTTGATTGGTGAAATAAAATTATTCTATTCTATTCTATTCTATTCTACTTAGTGGTTTAAAGCCTAAAGCCAGCATGGCCACTTCCGGGAAATGACAACTGGAGATGTCAATATCAAAATCTTGCATAAATATCATTAGATGTACAATTTGTATGCCATTTCGTATGCTGAATATGTGGTGGAAGACAAATCTAGCGAATTCCATAAATAGAATCAACGCATTAAGTCGGTACGGACTTGAAACACTAAAAGTTGTTAAAGTAGAGTAGTAACCGGATTTTGGATACTAAGTGCATTATACAGTGTTATAAGTGGTATAACTGACGAAAATAAATCGCACCTACGCGTTTCTGTTAATCAAAGTAACTGGTCATCTTCCCAATAGTATATTTTTGCATGTCGGTCAAAAGATATACATAGCTTATGTTTTGTGAAATGTTGTATACAGTCCAACAATAATATATTTCGATTTGATTTGTTCTGATAAGTTTTTTGATCACTTCTATTTGAAATTTGGTTGGTCTACTGGATTAGACTAAGTACTTTTTAGGTCTAAAACTTGTATATAATGAACTCAAGAAACAGAATGAACCTTAATACGTCACCCTAGTGCAGTAACTTGAGTAAGTTGAGTAACTGGTGAACTCCTATTAAATTTAGAAGAACTTAACCTGTTACAGCACTATGATGGTGATATATACTCCTAGTTTAGACCCTGGGGTATATTCCAGGATATAAGCCAAACATTCCTTAAAATTTATCCTCTGACAATAAATTGTTTTCTTGTATTATAGGGGAGACATAGAACTAAACTGGCGTAGATGAACTTTACAGAGCATTTCTATGATTTTTTCTTTGCCTAATCAGAATTATGATTACAATCAAAACGGAAAATTTAAGTTTTAACATTTTTTGCTGATTCCCTGATATTTCATAGAAACATTAGATTTTATTAGCTTTTGTTCAAATATAACAGTTATTAAACATAAACAACTTTTAGAAGGCAATCATCAGTGTGGTCTGATAAGCCCTTGGCATAGACCAATGCACAGCATAATAAATAAAACAAAAAGCACATAAGTATTTAAAAAAATTATTAATTTATTGTTTCATCTTTAATTTTATGGTTTATTTAAGTATTCAATTTAAGGTGTCAATCTTCAAGAATTATTAAACTGATTAAACTGATGTTTCAGAAAATAAAGTGTAATTAAACAGACAAATAAGTACATTACATGTATATATTCTTTAACGGTGAAAATAATAAAATGATAAAGGGAGGTAATTAATTGGTAATAACATTTAACATAAAAATGATAAATAAATGATTATCACCAATTAATAATTTCAGAAGTTAGTTCAGGATACTTTTTCAATTACTGTTAGTTCATATTATTTATTATGATTTTGCACCAAGCATTGGTCTACCCTGTCTTATTATAATTTCTTACTTTTCTGTCTTGAAATTTTCTTACATACATGACTAGCTTCTCGACCATAAGTTTGACAAATCCTTTAAATTTTAATAAACTAGTTATTTGAATATGAATTATATTAAATATATTAAATATATTTGTTAAGTTCAGTGAGCTTCTTGTATATATGTTTTAGTTGATTTAGACATGTCAATTGAAATATCCTTACTTATAGGCTAGCAAATACTAATTGTATACTATAATTGGCTTACTAAATTAGTTTGTTTGATCAGAGGGATTGTCGTTATTGTTTTGTACTTTAGAGATAATCATAATTGTATTACTGTAAAATTTTATGGAAATGAAATGGGGCATGAATAGATCGGAGAAGAATGATGAAATTTAGATTTAAAAACAAACAAACAAATGGCAGCATAGTTTGTGCCAGTGCAGTGCTTTGACACATTAGCATACCTGAGGAATTTCTCATGATCCCTGCAAAAAGTAAAAATGAAACAGTCATTACAAATAAATATTGGAGATTAATTTTAGACATTTTTTTTAAATTTGAGTGTGTATTTTTTTGCCAAAAACATTAATTTTGTGAAAATATTAAGTGTATTAAGTGAAAATATTTGATATTTAAACAGTTCATGGTTGTCTCATTTATGTGGAACCGAAGATTTGGTTGACTTGAGAAAAAAAGATGATGAAATAGAACCAAGAAAAGGGTATTGTGATTAATGAGGTTTCAATAAAGTGGGAAATAACTTCGTATATTGCTTGTCTAACTTCTTGTTGGCAAAATAAATTGCACTTGTTCTTCTGTTTTGATATGAATATTTACTACATATAATTAGTTAGCTTGTTTTACATCCATGTAGTACATAATCGGTGATTTTTCACATTACATAAGAGAGGCCTCTTCCCAATAAAAATTTCTTAAAAATTGTGCAGGTGCATTTTTTCCGTAAATTTAGACATAAATCATCATTTTTAGTTCCAAAATAGAATTTTTAGGGATAATTCTTTCCAAAATGAAGTGGCTAAGGCCTCTTCCCACTAAAGTGAGAAAAATCATCTACATGTATATTAGTAGTCTGCTTTAGAAAATCTGTTATTTTATGCATGAATTTAGTACATTGTAATTTTTTGATGTGGTGATACAAACAAATGTGGCAATACAAACTTTAAAATATACTTGGATTGGCATTACAGTGAGTTTGGCTTTGTGATATTTTTATTCCTGGGCAAAACAATGATGCTCAACATTTAAAGCCACTGACCTCCAGATGGTAAAATGAAAGAAATGAAATAAAATTTTAAGTAAATAGTTAGGTTTATTTCATAAATCGATCATTAATGACACCTTAATTCAAGAGAGAATGTTGACGAAAGCGTTAATATATCAGGTTTTTCTTTTCCATAATCTACTACATTACTAACACAGTAGCCAATATAAATACCCTATCATAAATAGGAGAAGAAAATTCATTTAACATGGTCACATGTCACAACAGTGATCTGGAAAAATCCTGGTATCCCGTATGCCCGGGATCGTTTATCAATTTTCGTCATTACGTAGGCCCCTATCACATTTCAAGCTAAAGGTTAAATCGATAAATTGGTCATCTTATATATATGAAATTATTAATCAGTTATAAATTTTAGTGCCATGAATTACTTCAAACATAAAAACAAAAGCAGTTGTTCGTATCCCTATATGTTTGATAAAATCACGGATTCCGTGCATTTTGGAGCACAGATCGCGATATTGTCCTGCACAGTCACATGATACTAGAAAAAAACTTGGATGAAAGAATTACGTGGTATATTAAAAGAAGGTATTTCCCGTTGATGGAAAAGCGAACTGTTTGCTTTCAGAGCAATTATGTTAAAATATAAACATTTTGAAGTGTCATTTCGATTTCTTTCAAGACAGCAGTTTTTCTGCTATCTTCTGGAGGTCAGCTGCTTTAAGCTATAACAAGCTTTTTCATCTTATACAGTAGAATCCCCACATAAGACCACCTGACAATTAAGACCACTTTGTTTCAGTCCAGATGATGGTCTTAATTGAGGGTTTTTACTATATTTTAGACTACACTAACAAAATAACAAATTTATTTGTGCCAATTATATTGAGTATGTCATATTAGCTTTTCATTATGATGTTCTGAGAGGTAATACTGTAATGGAACTTTTAGATTAAATGGCAACAGTTCAAACAAAACTCAAACAGGTCTAGGATGATCGCTTAAAAATTCACAATAATAATTACCAAGTAGATCTACCTAAAATCAATGGCAATATGTATTGCAATATATTGAAATAGGGATTGATACATTGCAATATAATAGAATAATATTGCAATACGCTTGTTACCATATTGTTGCAGCCCCGCTGATAATTGTCTTTTCATATTCTCTTCATAATACAGACTCAATGCTATTAAATATAAGAGCCATCTTTAAGTTCTTAGAAAATTTAAAATAAATTTATATGTGGTTAAAACAAATTTAGGAATGTACTTTTTTTGTGACAATTAAAATTGAAGGATTAAAATTTATCACTGACTTCATGTTTCCTTTGTCTTGCAGAAACCTAAATAACATTCGTTATTGCAAGATCATGCCAAAATAATTCACTATGACTTTCTACTTGTGTCGCATTACATTGGCTTTTACAGTTCATCGGTTTTATAATGTTCCCTGAAATTTTTGGGTGGGATAATAAGTTGCTATTTTGATTTTAGGTCCTTGAATTAGGTAGTGTTTCAAGCTTGGTCAAAGCAACAAAGGGGAAAATCTACTGACATTGACAAAATGATATAAACCTTTAGATAGCCAATGGCGACAGTAATAAGTCTATGCCATCAGTTTAGAGTTTGCCAGTAGTGACTGATATATTTTAGTATTTTAATATTTAAAATTGATCTTGAGCAGTTTCCATATTCAAAGCAAAGACAATCAGTTACAGAAGTTTACCAGTAGCAAAATAAATGATAAAAGATAAAATAAATGAAAAGGTTTAATTTTGTTAATATTGTTTTATTTGTTATCTATTTTCAGGTCAAGAAAGATAATTCTGGGACTTTTTGTACTGTTGGTGTTTCTGTATTATATTGGACCAAAATTATTTGGATTTGGATCTAAGAAATCCTCACCATTAGGTAAGGAAAGGGGATGAAAAATCAAATCTTCCCTTTTAGTTGTAACCTGGATCTTACTTCTTTAGTAGCTACATAATATTTTAGAATACTTAGTCAATCTACATAAACCACACAGTAAGCAAAATCACCAAGTACTCTGTAGATCTATTGTAATACAGTAAAATCCCTCTTTTAAGACCACCAACATGTCTTCATCAAAGCAGTCTTAATTGTGGGGTGGTCTTATTACTGGAAACCGGGGAAGAATAAATGTCAGCATAAATGTTAGTATGATTAAGCTGATCAGAAACATTGTTACAAGTATTATTTAATGATTTGAAATTCAAGGCTAGTTTGAGGTCGGTCCGGTTGGGTATTTGAAGAATAATCAGGCTCTACTCTACCTCACTGGCATAACAGAAAAGTTCAAATTCCTGAGTGGCTGATGATTTTCATTTGCAACTTTACACAAGTCATGTCTCCAGGGTTATAATTGTTGGTTGCCAACCAAGATCATTAGCCTGTCACCACTGCAGGCTTGAATCTAGTACTTTGGATTCTTCATATGAGAACGCCAGTGCTTCTACTCCGGTGCCCTCCCGTTCCAGAAATAATGCACGGAGGGGCACCTTAGGTTTTCCTCCACAAGTAAAGCAAGAAAGTAGCCATATAACCTTTGAAGTGTCAAGTGTGGCTTAATCCCCAACAGATAAACAAACAAGCACATAGAAAAGTCTTGAATGCTGTTAATTAAGAAGCTAACAGTTTATTTTTACAAATAGCTGCTCATAATTCTTATTAATTTCTCAAGAGAAGATATTATAGCTTGTTCTGAAAATACTACACATAAAAACAGAAAATAGAAAATCTATGGAACTTAGGTCTATCAATACTTAGGCTATAACAAGTGGCTTACACAAATAACTGTAACTTTTAATTATTTCACTGCTGATAATATTTGCTTTTAAACAGTATATTATTGTTCTTTTGGCCTTGTTTTTATGCGCATTATAATTCTAAAACTTCTTTAGGTTTGGAGAAATTAAACACATGCTCTCTGATTTTTGTTTTTCAGTTGAAAGTGTTTGTCTAAACAGTAAACTTACACCATATAGAAATGGGTTAGATCTGCTAGACAATGTTTTAAACTATGTACCAGAAATGACTACACAGAAAAACTACCCCATGTATGTAGGTGAGTATCCTAAGTAAGAAATATGTTTTAAATATTTTGTTGACTTCAAACCACTTGCCTCTTTCTGCTGTAGGTTCGAGGCATGCAAACATCTTTGGGTTCTTTTGTGTAAGGAAGCTATCCAGCTAGCTTACAGAACATCTGTGGGTCTACTTGGATGTTTTTTGTTCCTGAAATAATGGACTCGGGTGCCCCTCCTGAGGTCTTCCTCAATCAGTAAAGCTGGAAAGTCGCCATATGACCTATACTGTGTTGGTGCGATGTAAAACCCAGTAAAATAAAAGAATTGTTTAATGACAACTGTGCTTTAGTGCCACTTGGCTGTATTTGAAAACAGGAAGATTAGACTGACTGCCAAGATAAGACTAAAAATGTATTGAAATAGGCGTAAAACCCAACAACCAGTACCACTTTATTTTGATGATCTTTTTATGCCCATTTATAGTGATAACATGAACATTTGTATCTTTGGATGTATTTAAATCATGTATTAAACTATGTTATTTTTAAAAACTTCTTTAATTTTTCAAATTATGATACAAATATTTTCAGGCAATGGTTACATTGCGGCATCTTTTGACAGTCAGAATGGACTTTATATACGTCTGAACAGGGCTTTATCATTACCAGTGCCTTATTACCCAATAGTTGGTACAAATATAGAAAGGGTATCCAGAGAGGGTAAGTTTTTAATGTGAAATATAGAATTAAAAAAATTGAGCTACCAACAGTATAGAGCCTGGTTGGACTGCATGGAAGTGGAGGCTGGTCTGGTTCTATACTTGTGGGAAAGGGTAATCACTTCTGGTTCCAGAAAATTGAGGGTTAAGCCAAATGCTGTCTGTCATTAGTGATTTAGTAGATTTATTTTGATTTAGAGGTCAAGTTTTTACAGCTTGTGAGTTCCATTTACTTGCCTTTTGCTTTTATGTAAAACAAAACACAGAAGCAAGCTGTGAACCAAAATCCATAATAAAGGGTTTAAACTACATTACATAGTGTTCCGACAATTTTTTAACCAGACAGGAAGTAAGAACAGAGTTATCTTTCATAACATAGTCTCTAAAACAGTAATATGCACCTTCTGGACCATACAAATCACGGTCGCTTGTCATTTAAAACAGTGTGTCACTGAATACAATCCAACTTTATAGCCGAAATTGTGGGGCAGACTCAAACAGGGTCACATAAGACAGGAAATCACTGAATATAGTGGGTCAGTATGACAGTTTAAACTGTAGTAAGAAGTTTATTTTGATAGAAATATTGTAATTATTTTCATGTTTTTAATCAACAGAGGTAGACGTTCTACAGCTGAGACAAGGCATTGCTAACAGATTACAGATTTTTAATGCTGTAAGTAACTCATATTCTTATAAATAGGACTGGATTTTTTATTAGGTAGCTCTGAATAATTCAAATTGGAAAAAAAATGTTTTTATTGTTGATTGTTTAGAATATCAAAGTATATTTAATTTTTTACCCTTTATGATATAAATGCATGCCAGTCATGATATATTTGAAACATCATTTGGGAGACAAAGATTCTA